CAGACAATCCCTGCTACCTGCGTGTGCTAATCCATTCTTTCACCCAGATTCTTTGTCTTTATAATTTCTATCTTTATAATAACAAACAACCGCTGTTTCACGTGTAGGTTCGCTTCATTTCCCGTTTCACATTTCACATGTGTTTTCTTGACAAAACGTGGTTTGGAGACCAGCGTCGGGTGACAGAGTCGTTGTCAGCTCGTATAGTGTGTGACCCCCCTGTCAGTCACGTAATGTGAACACCACAACGACTTCAAGACTCCCGTCACAAGACAGCAAGTTGTGTAGTGTGAACAGCCATCGGCTGACGCTGAAAGTCGTGTAGTCTGCACAAGCCTTTCTGTGTTTAGTGTTCAGTAACCTGCGTTCTGTCTGTTACTCCAGAATCCCTCTGCCTGCCTGTCTCTATTTTCCCCTGCTGTCTCTCTGCCTGCCTGTCTCATTGGTCCTGATCCCTCCCACCCGCCTGCTCGTTAGTCCCTGGTGTTAAATGTTTGTTGTTTCTGTTCAGTCTCTGTTCGGTCATTGTCGTGTTTGCAATGTTCTGCCTGTCTCTGTGTTGCCTGATCTGCTGTTTGGACATTTTACACCTGAACTGCATGTAGGCCTGAGTTTTTGTGTTTTATGAATTAAAACCTGTGCATCTTCAGTCAACTCTCCAGTGTCTTGCATTTGGGCTCTCTCCTGTTTGCACTTCATCTAATTTGTGACATCTCCTTGACCTGCCTTTGCTGGTGACACCTAGGTATCATTAGTGTTTGCCCTAAATCTTGGTGTTTGTTACTACTATTAAACTATTTCTAAACAGCCAGCTTAACTTAAGCAATAGCCCACCATTAAGCTTAACAACAAGCAAGCTAGTCAGGTGTAAAATAGTGTCGTCGATTAAAATTTGTGAACTGCGGTAGCCTGGTTAGTTCCATTGTGAGGCAACTGAAATAAATATGCATTACGTGGTTAATAGTCGGTGCAATCATATTTTGATTTTTAAAGCCTTTTGAGCAGCAGAACCAGTATGTCGTACTATAGCCTTTTGTCTGATGAAGTGGTGTGCATTTTCAAAGCGATGTGCAATTTACACATTCATGATCCAGAGTAGATACTTAAATTCAATCAGATGCCAACGCTATATGCCTCTTGCAGAAGAACACACACTTCTTTGGTTTTGTACACACCAAACTGGTAGGATGTAACTTGAAGAAATATACTGTGTGGTAGAGCTAAAACATGGCTGTAATAGTTTTGGTTCAATCTGACTGTAGAAACTTGATTAATAGGGTAGCCTCAGAATTGAGGAGTTTTTAAGCTGTCATGTAGCTAAACAGCTTAAAAGACCATTGCTTCACTTGTATTTTAAATTGTTGCTTCAATGCAATTTAATGTCAAATGTGTGATTTCTGCTGATGTGGCACTCTTTTTTAGCTTGAGCCCCTGCCCCCCTTGATGTCTGTGCACGTCCCTGAGTACAATAGAATAAGATATCACATGGTGCACAAGTGCACACAGCAAGCACGCACACACTCGCACACAGTGTATGGCGAGCAGGCAAGGGTGATTGTTATGCACTGTGGCAGTCACAAAACCTCGTACAAATAAGTTCAGAAAGAGCTTGTGCATATGACAGCTTGCAGGGGTAGGCTACAACAGTTTGAATGTTTCCCCCATGTGTTGTCACATGAACATTGTATCTGCAAATTATTTAAACAGCATTTGTCCCAAACTTTCTGATCCATATAAAGACTGATTACTGTAACCATGACCGCTATAACGGGGTCCACTCACTGTACAACAAAATGACACTGTAATTTGCATGCTGTAATATACAGTGTTACTTTTTACTTGATGTTACAGCACTTATGTTATCACTACCTTAGTTTTGTTACTATGTGGGTTTCATCCATAACATGTCTCTTGATTAAATTACTTCAGTCTTTGTTTTGTTGTCGTTTTGCTATTATAAAGGTACCCTATGGAGTTTTTGACTCCTAGTAGCACTTTGGATACACATCCCTCACAAACGCATTTCACACTATTCCACTGATCATCAGGCGGCAGTAAGGCAAGGCATGCAACTCTTTGTTTAGAATCAAGGCTCAAAGTTACACAGAAAAGGTTTTGGTGAGTAACACTCAATGTTACTTGTTTGTTTACAAGGAAACTCCACAGGGCTCCTTTAATCGAACATAGCAGTGTGTCCATAACTGGCTAGCCAAGACAGAAAAGCAGAAATAATGGATTTGTAAACATACAAATAAGGCTTTCACAACTCACTACATGCTTAAGTCAAACAAAGGACAATAGAGTACTTTCTGGAGACTTGTGTGGCATCTACACATGTAGAACATAACGTAGGAATAATGTCCTTGTCCTGGAAACTGTGCAGCTTCCGCAAATTACAAAGGTAAGAAGTGCATCTGTGTAAGGGAAAATACTGACCTGCTGCAATTATTGCATGTCTCAGAAGTTTTCTTCAATTTAAAAAAAAACAAACATGCTTTCATGTTGTGGGGTGAGTGTGTGTGTGTGGCTGCCACCCAACGTTGTTCCTACATGTTGTCTTTTGAGATTTGAGATTGCCTTAAGCAGTGATGATGTGCTCCCAGCAAGACATGCCAAGACTGCTGGCTGTAGCCCAAGATGAGGAGCAAAAAAGGGAAGGAAGGAAAAAGACAGATTCCTGAGCCAGATCCCATGATTTTGTTTACTCTAATAAAAGATTCATCAGGATTGAGTGAGCTAAAGCCTAGTTCACACTACACGACTTTTAGCCTGATTTTCCGGTCAGAGAACTCGGCAACCGTCCGGCTGTGATCGGGGGTAAATCAGCGGTCGATCGGCGGTCGCCAATCATTATGTGTGAACTACACAACGACGCATCAAAATGGCTCCCCGACACATCACTGCCACATCGCCGATGCCAGCCAGATATCTAGCATGCCAAATATCTGGAAGAGTCGGCCAACTTGACATCCACATCCAGCCAATGAGAGAAGGCAGCTGGCAGAGCAGGCAGCTACTTTTTCACTGCAAAACACTTTTCACTCAACTCCAGCTCTCTCTGTAGCTCAGACAATCCCTGCTACCTGTGTGTGCTAATCCATTCTTTCACCCATATTCTTTTTCTTTATAATTGCTATCTTTATAATAACAATGGCTGACCCTGTAAGTCATGTAGTCTGCACGAGCCTTGAGTAATTGCTGAGTGTCTTGATTCTGTTTAGGAATCCTAGTGATCATGATTATGATTCAGCTGACTAGCAAAACAGTTTACTTCAAGTAATTTCATTGTTTCTGGGTATAATGACAAAAATGAGGAACAAATTCACAGAATTGTTTTTGGTGATTCCAACATCAATAACATCTGAGTCTCAGTTTAAATACTTTTCTTTAATTACTTTAAAATCACTAAGTTTTCAGAGTGATACCACCATGCATGTAAGGACTGGTGCATTGATGCAATAGCCCTACTTGGAAAATTTCTGGTAAATGTTTCTAAGTGTCATGTGGGATTAATTAACATTGTCTGTCTCAGCAGAATGAATCACTCTGTGTAGAAGGAGAGTTCAGAGTACAGTAGCACAGAGTCAGACCACTTTGAAGTTTAACATCAGAGGCTGCCTGCAGAATAGACTGAATAGATTGACTGGAGGGTTGCTAGTTCTAATCTAAGGGAATTCTAGGGAAATGTTGGCAGCTACACAAAGTGAGAAATGCTCTTCACTGCCTCGGCTACTGAGGTGCCCTTCAGCAAAGCACACAACCTGCAGCTGTACTTGCTCAAGAGTAAAACGCTGTATCTGGGATAGCCTACTGTGTGTGTTACAGATTAAGTTCCAGAATGGTGGATGTTAATGTTTGATGTTATGCTCTGAGATTATGCTGTAAAATGGTTTTGGTAATATGCAACATGAACTTTCCAACACACCCATTATCCGAAAACTGCAGAATCCACCCACTCACGGCTTCAGACTAAACATTTACCAAACAGATAATTAACAGCAGTCAATCCTCAAGGTTAAATTGTGAATTCCTTTGAATAAGGAGAATTAACGTAAATGAGTAAATGATGAAAAAAAACCCCGACAGTTCCATTACTCTCTGTCTGCAAGGTCTCATATCACACTTACATACTGCTTACAGCTGCTTCTAAGCCTGATGAATACACTGACTGCTGTGTCATTGTTTAATTGTTTCTAGTGGTAACTTCTTCTAACATTCTTCTAGCATTACCTTTTCACCACTTATTACTCATTCTTCCTGGTTAAAAAAGAGGCATGTCGTTTTTAACTGACTAGGACAAACATATAAACAAATAAATTAATATAGGCTACAGTTGGCTATAGAGTCAAACTCAAACCAAGTATAAGCACACAGAGAGGCCGGAAGTACAAGGTCTTGACGCTGATTTCGACCCCCATCACCACACAAAGCACACATACAGTACAGGCCCTCAACATGCGCACGTGCATCTCAACAGTGGTGAGCTGAAACACGCCCCCTTGTGGCCACCTCTAATGCCTGTGAGTGGAGCAACAGAGAGGGACGTTAAGTGTGTGTAGTCCTCTAATATCTGCGCGCGCGCGTGTGTGTGCGAGAGAGAGAGAGAAAGAGATAGAGAGAGAGAGTTAGTGTATATAGGGGGTTGTTCAACATTCAGTGTATTGTTGCTGTCATAAATAATTGGTCCGCGGGGAGGGGTGGTGGTGCTAAGGGCTCCTCCATTAGGCCAAAAACTTTTGGAGCGCCTTTCAGTTCTAATTGGCACCAAAGATTGGTGGCGCCGCAGCTGGCGAACCCCACGGAAGACTGGACAACAGGGAGGAACACGAAAACCGCCGCTGTCCCCTCGGCTCTTAAAGACATCCTGTGGCACTCAAAAGGCTTGAAAACCTATTTCAGAGTGAGTGGGAGACAGGGGAGTGGGGCGGAGAGAGAGGGAGAGCAATGATGTTCTTTTGACAACCTGTTCAGTGTGGAGCTGTGAGGCTCGAGCGCATCTAGCCTATGTGTAAGCCTCTGTCCTCCCTCCCCTCCCCGCTCTCCAACGCTCTCTCTCTCTCTCTCCCTTCACAGACAGGGGCGGTCGTTCTCAGTCAGTGCACATATTCCACTTGGCCAGCATCACTTGGAGTCAGACATAGCGCTGATTGAAGGAGCGGGCGGGAGCTCATTTTCAGAGCGCATGATTGTGTCAGAGGGGCTTCACTAGACTGTCACCGGTCAGAGAGAGACGGTACAGCCATTTCAACCACGCCTTTAAAAGTAGACAGGGTAATTCACAAAAAAGGAGACTGGGTTTATAGGGTTTTGCCAAACTAGCCTTGCTTGAGTTTTTCAAAGGGAAAGTGGTTTTTATTTGTATCTTTTGGAAAGAGGGACTCTCCTGTGGAACGGAAGATTCCGCTGCCCGCCTCTCTGTGCGTAACGCAAAAGTTTAAGACACCAAAGGAGGTGATTTGAGAGGTCTGGGAGCGCAACAAACTCTCCGTTATACTCCGCTGGAATTGTAAAGCTCAAATCGGACTCCCACTGGAAGAGGACATATAACTTTTTAACACATTTTGTGGAGAGATAAAGGTGGCGGGTTGGTCCAACGGAGGAATCCTCTTCGCTGAGCCGGGAGGAGTGCGCGCTGCGCTGGGTAGTAGACTTGCCCACAGGACGGCACCTCGGAGACAAGGTAGAGACGCGGCAGGGATTACATGCCTGCACAGAGACAACAATTTTTTCATTTGGGCATTTGTGTCAGGGTTATATTTTATTTATTGACATTGCATCTGGTCTGTGTGCTTATATTTGTTTGCTATTTAATTAGTATCAAAGCATCGTTGCTCTAATTACAGTTAATAAGCCACGCCAGAGATATTCAAATTGTAGGTTTTTATGCAGGCAATACAACGATAGAGTGGATGCAAGTCTCACGGAGCGCATCCTGCAGGGTATTACCTCACATGCATCGTATAATCAAACTTTGATCACGGCGCGCTGTATAATATGACCTGTCAATGCAGCCTACTCCGAGCCATTATACAAATCTGAGGGCCAGACGTCGGAGCAAATCTCGTTCGGTCTGAAAAGTCACACAAGAGGGTCCATTAGCCCCTGACTCCAGCCGCCTTTCATCTTTTTTCTTCAAGGTTTTCCACAGGTAGGTATCAGTAGGGTAGAGAGAAAAAACAACACCGACATGTGATCGACAGTAACGCTGTTTTATCGTAAACCTCTCGCAGCTGCATAAACATTGTAGGAATAATTCAATCGATCTGCAAAGGCGGTGTTTGAATGTGTGGGTGTTCATGGTGTAAACGGCATGACCCCACTTGTAGCTAATCTTCCAATTTACAGTCTGACCCTCAGTTTTCTCCTGTCCTGACTACACCTAACCCCCGCCTCCATGATTCAATGAGGAGAGGGACAGAGGAAATTTAGTCACGCTAAACAGCAAACAATCCTGTCAATCTCCAATTCTCCAGCACACACACACACACACACACACACACACACACACACACACACACACACACACACACACACAGCCCTGCTTGTAAACGTTCAATAATCCACTTGTGAATCCTCCCCCTTTAAGTTGGATGAAACGATGTAGTCTGTGCGGCGTGGGCTACATTTCTCTGTAATATTATTTTCACGGCTTAAGGGGTTGAAGGGGACATAGTTGAACATGAAAAAAACAAACAATTGAAAGAACCTCTTACCTCTTCTTGCTTTTTCATAACAACCGCTCAGATGTTGCCTCTTTTTTTGTCACACACAGGCTGTTCTCCCTGTGCCTGTGTTCACCTCTCTCCATCTGTGTGTGTGTGTCTCACTCTTAGGTTATGACGGAACTGAGCTGAACATGGAGCTTTTCTGGATTTTGTTGTTTTCTAGTGTGTGTCCTCTTGCCTGGGGCCAAGGAGTTTACGGTAAGAACGCGCTATTTACAAATGTATTCATATTATTACATCAGTGCATACTTTATTAGTGCAGGCTGACTGAGCTCCACTGCAGCAGCGATGTTAATTTGTTCAATTATTAGCCCATAACCTTAATTAAGGGCTTCTCCGCGCCACATATATTGTCCGCGTTTGAGTGCAACGCGCTAATGGGAGGCGGTGTAATAACTGTCGTTTAAACTACTGAGAGAAGAGCTGCAGGGAGATCGACAGCAAATTCACTTGAAAGGGAGGTATTACTTCTCAGTAGTCACAGCAGGCGGCTGGGAAAACATCCAGGATGTAGTGGATGTGAAACCCTTACTGTAAATCCAATCTAATTCCATTTTTTGGCTGATATAAATCTTTATGGCGAAAAATCACTTTAGGCCTGCAGATTAGTGCTTATTACACACAGTATAGTAAAACTATTGTTTGGCCGTTATTTATTTATTTACATCACTATGTCCCATGCTGACTGCACACACTCTTAAAGCCAACAGGTTTTAAGAGGAGGACAGGACCGGCAGAGCTCTCTGAGAGGAGGCTTGTCTTTGCAGGTTAAACAGGACAGTCACACTGTGCTTTTGAGGATGAAGAGGAGATTTGTCCCCTCTTAAGACTGTCTCGCAGCAACACAGAGGCTCAGTTTCTTCTACAGGCCAGATACGCATCCCCCTGTCCCTCCGGGGCGATGCAAACGCACAAACTGTTCTGTCAGCTTTGATACTTTGATTTTGATGTTTGAAGGAATGTGGCAGCCATTTCAAAACAAGGGCTGTTTAGTCTTGGTAGCATAGAGTGCTGTTGTCATTATCAATCCCAGCAGCCTGCAGTCACACAATGCCAGTCTGTCATTCGCCGAAGCATATGTATAGGCTCATGTAGAAGTGCTTGCTAACCAGTCAGGCTTATACCACTCTAATACTTCATACAGCGGGTGACATGTTAATATTAGTGTAAATTAGAACCAACTTACGTGGGCAATCTTTTCTTAGCCTGTAATTTGTTCTGTAGTTAACACAATTTGAAGCATTACATTGAGGCCTTAATAAACAATACTAAAGCATTTGTTTTTTTTTCGTGACCCATGGCTGCAGACAGAGCAGTGTCTGCTTCTGTGCTGTGACAGTGCTGGTTGAGATCTCAAGATGTTTATTTTTTATTTTTTTTAATGGGAAATGTCAAACATGGCCTCACAATGAAAAAGAATGTACCTGAGTTTTAGTAGCATCACATGTACTTATCTGGGATAATTTTTTACCTGCAAATGTAGGCCTTACCCGCTTCGATAAAGCCAGGATTTACCATAAACCTGTTTTGCTGATACTGCCAGCATACATAAGCAGGTATTTTGCAACGTAACAGTTCAAAATATATGGTACCCAGAACTTTCAAGTTACTTTCAATGCCAGCAGTCATTTTTTTAGGAGTGTGTGTTCATTTTTTCAATCAGTTGTCTCTTCATGAAGTAACTTTTCTGATCTAGTTAAGCTGTCCTGCAGAAGGCTCTCATCTCCGGTTTGCCCTTGTGCATTCTTGTCCTCATTTATTTTTTTTCCATAATAAGTGTATGAAACAGTTTTGGGTTCTCTACAGGGCGATACACTGATTGTTATGAAGAATTTGTGCATCCTTGCCTCATGGGCTCTGTCACAAATATGCAGTCGGTTGAAGCAGAAAGGTATGCAGTGAGTGCCAGAGGTGGAGGCTGCTTTTTATAATTTATTTTTTTTGTAGGCCTATGATAGTTTTCTGCACAGTGTTATAGGTTGTTTGTCTTATGTGCAGCAGCAGCCCGTCCATCTCTGCTGAGGGAGTCCCAGAGCTTTGTGGGAATCATATTGGCCAGCTTTCACAGCCTTCAGATTCCCAGGTGACTTGTGTGGTGGTGGTGCTCAGCTGCGTGTACCTGCTCGACAACTGTTTCCTGTAGGTAAATCTTTGCCGCTAAAAAGAGTCATTCAGTGACAACAAATCAACTACATAATTGTAGTCAACAACACGAGTAGGGATGATGGGGAAGAGAGCCAACGAGTTTGGCACGCTCGCTCGCTGTGTATCCAGATATGCATAAAATGGTTTCCTTCACTTTGGAATTGTTTAGCACTTGCTCTAGCAGACAGATGAGACTCACTGTCCGTCGGGATCCGAACAGTGTAAGTGTGCCTGATTGATGTCAGTGCTTTGGACGGCTGTGAGGTTCATTTACTGTAGCCTTCTCTGGGATGTGTTTGGATGCGTGCGTCTTTTTTTCTCTCAGCTCATGCCTGCAAGTCTGTGTGTGCAGGTGTTTGCGCTCGTGCGTGCATGTGTGTGAGCTCATGTGTGTGAGCCTGCAAACCTGTTAGTGCATGCATGAGTGGGACGTGATAGTGCTGCAGACAAACTTTTCCCATTACCCATTACATTTATTCATTTAGCGACTTACAATTGCATGTTGACATGCATAATGTCTGGAGCAACTAGGGGTTAAGTGTCTTGCTCAGGGACATAATGGTGGCTGGGTCACAATGGGGGATGGAACCCAGGTCTCTCACACCAAAGGCATGTGTCTTATCCATTGTGCCATCACCACCTGCCATTCCCACTGCAACAGTTTGCTGGCTCAGCAGGGACTTGTGGATCAGTCACTGTTTCTCTTGCAGCAGTGTTGAATTGATTGCACTTCTGCGAATTTTGATAGGCTGTCAAAAAACTTGCAACACCTGTCTATCAATAGCAATTGGATAGACGAGTGCGCCAAGGAAATGCGATGCTGTACTTCAAAGGAAGAGGGAAAAGCTGAACACCATATGTTTTTACACATTAGGCTTTGTTGTGCATTGAGTTAATTTTATAGTATGCCCCTCCCTCTCTCTCTCATAGTATATGCATACATATATATATATATATATATATACATAGTATATACATATATATATATATATATGCATACATACATATATACATACATATATATATATATATATATATATATATATATATATCAATCACAGGATGTGACTCCTCGTCAGAAGGACTCAACAGTTATGACATCAATACAGACAAAGTGTACCAGAAAAGTGTCTCTCCATCTTTGTGGTGCCGCATCACATGATGACACCAAATTATTGATTGCTTGACAAATTCACACAGAAGCATTAGCCGGTGCTGTAGATGGAATCCAAACTGCATTAGCCTGCAATACGATGCGTCATTATGTGCTTGTTAACAGGAAATTTAATGAACTTAAATCAATGATTTTGCTCAACAGTGTTATTTAATTTTTTTTTTGATTTAAGCAAGGCCCTTGCAGCAGCAGGAGAGTTGAGGCCTTGCCACTGGCCATAGAACAAAGCACTACAAGAGATGCAGAAAGTGAAAAAGTTTAAAATGCCTACATTGCGCACAAATTTAACATCACTTTGAAGATGTTGCCCAAGGAAGAATGAAAGGTTTGGAATACATTGCTAGTTTTTTATTTGCAGTCTGTGTGTGTGTGTGTGTGTGTGTGTGTGTGTGTGAAGAGCACCCAACACTTGAGCATCGTTTGAGCATGTGGAGCTGTACTCGCTGCAGTACATTAGCTTGCCATGGCATATGGGTTGGAAGCCGGTGACCTAGAAAGAGATCATTCCAGGTTTAACTGGCCTGGCCACTGGCTCCCCTGTGACTTCTTCCTCTCCCCACATCAGCACTTTTTGTTTGTGTCTCTTTTATGTCTCTTAATTCTGCGTTTATTTTGGATGCTGAATATTGCCCTTTTCTAATAAGCATCCATAATTTATTGGTGACTCGGAGGCAGTGGAGGAGGGGACGGGAGACAGTGATAGAAAGCGACTGAAGCATTAAGCTGCAGTGGATGATAACCTTTTACCTCCCACAATCTGACACCTACTATCCTCCTCCTACTCCTTACCTCTTTGCTTTATATTTCTGTTCACTGTACTCACACGCACACACACCCTCTTTTTGCTTTACAGATTTCACCCTCTCTACATGAATGTGATCAGTAATGTCAGCGATTACCAAATGACCTTCCCCTCTCTTATTACGTTAAATCAAAATCCTTGGAATTTAATTAGTAGTGCTCAAACTCTTTAAATGAAAATTAGATAAACAGATAGATAGATAAATAGATATTAAAAAGCCAAACAGGTAGGTAGATAGAGTAGATAGATCCAACTGAAAGGAGACATGAGAAGCAAGACAGAAAAAGTCAGTGTTTTGTCTGGTAAGGAAGCTTGATTATGGTGTAAGTGCCAGACGATTAGGAGAGCTTTTCTTTGCACAGAACAGATAGGAGATAATGAGTTGGCAGAGAGCTGGAGAGCTGATGAATGGTGGCATGTGTCTTTATTGTTTGTAATGTATATCAGAGTCTCCATTGTTCAGCACAATTAAAAATAGAACATTTTACATGTGAACTACTTTACCTATTAGACGCGAGTGGTGTTATCTGCACTGTGTTTGCCTCCTGGTCCTCCCTCTTTTTGTGTCTGTCTCCACTCATCTCTGTCACTCTCTCTGATCCCGTCCCCTCTGCTAAAAGTTTCAGTGCACATGGTGCTTTAATTATCTGTTGCTTCCATCTTTCTTTTCCCGCGTTAACTAGATCCATTGTGTAGCATTGTAGCCCTTGATTCCTTAATATTAAAAGGGTCATACCTTGAGAACATTCACATACACGATACAGTACACAGTCTCCTTGCTTTATTGTTTGCTCAGCTAATTCTTTGCTACATTTTGCTCTTGATCCTCCTCTCCTCTCCTCTCCTCTCCTCTCCTCTCCTCTCCATTTTCCTATTTTTCTCTATGGCTGACTGGATATTAAAGCCTGACAACATTTCTATTAACCCACAGGTCAGCAGCAGCGCCATAGGCCTATGACCAAAGTGATATGTCGACTGTGTTTTACAGTAGCCTTGCTACCTGGGGCTAAAGGATAAGAGCTCTAAGACAACGTCTTGTGAGGTCTGATTGATCGCCTCCTGCCAGTTACACTCTGA